CTTTTAATGCCTGAGATTTTTTGGGAGAAAAATAATGACAGTTTTTTTGTAGGCTTGTATTATTATATATGAAAAGGTAATGCTTTAGAGCAGGGGTGGTCAGCTAGATCAACCCATGAGAGCCACAACAATCTATGTCTTAAAGAGTTCAAAGAGTCAAGGACATTCCTAGAAGAGTAGATTATCATACAATTTATGGGCATTTAGGTCTGTCTGTAAACATTCAATGGCCATCCCTGATTTAGAGCATATAAAAAAAAAATTTACAATATTAAGAAACTTAACTTTAAAAAAAAAAATGAAATAAAAAAAATATTTTTGTTGAACCTTCACTCTCAGGTACAACACTTAAGCCGGAAGTACGTCACCTCAACTCTCAAAACCCGTTTCCACTCAAGTCATTATTCCTTAGATTGCACTTTTATATGTCCAAAGTAATCAACTGAATCCAAGTGCCACTCTTAAGATGTTCACTGACATCCGTTCAGAATAAGACTAAAAAACAAATGAATGCAAAGATTTGTTACATCAAATCAATTTTTAGTTGGATGACCGTCATCCTCTCTTATTTACAGATGGTCAGTGAAGAAATGATTACCAGCCTAGAATGCCACACCATTTTCGATTCACTGGTTCAAGGTTTGCAGGATTTCCTTTTGTCTTCTCTTGTTGAGAAATTAGAACATTTAATAGCTGATTCAGTAAAATGTTCCAGACCCAGAAGGTGCTGCCTTGTCGATTAAAATTGTTTGCCAGCACATATAGATATTTTATTATTGTTCTTAGAATTGTGGTGCATTTGAACATCTTGTGAAGACCACATAATTTATTCCAAATGAGTTCTAATACATAGCCTATCCATAGCCATGACATGTATTCCCTTAGGAAGAATATTTATTACACAAGCAACGATGGTCGCGCTCTACCCTTGCCTCAAAGAGGAAAGAACAAACTTGACCTCAACTGCCAACTAGATATTGACAACTAGATCTTAACTGTCAACTGCATCTTAGTAGTCTAAAGGAATCCCATCTTTACGCTTGTCACTAGATGCCAGCAGAAATCAGCTAAACCCGCTTCATGAAAGACATCCTAATGTATGAGGTCTGACCGTTCTGATGAAACTGCTCAATCATCTGAACACTATCTAGGTGGCCTGGCTCATCAGTCAGCCTCTCAACATCCATATCCTGAATTGTAAGTGATATTGTCATAACATCAGCCTGGACAGCACAAACAGGAGGGCTGCTGTGATGCTACAGCTTTTTAATGAATCCTGTAAGTTTCTTGGCGGATCTTCATGGTGGGCACCTGTTCCTGGGGATAATGAAAGACAACAATTAAAACCATTTCAAAGGCAGAACTAGAACAACATTTCAATAGTTATGGCAGTACTAGAACAACATTTCAATAGTTATGGCAGTACTAGAACAACATTTCAATAGTTATGGCAGTACTAGACCAGCATTTCAATAGTTATGGCAGTACTAGACCAACATTTTAATACTTATGGCAGTACTAGACTGACATTCAATAGTTATGGCAGTACTAGACCAACATTTTAATTGTTATGGCAGTACTAGACCAACATTGCAATAGTTATGGGAGTACTAGACCAGCATTTCAATAGTTATGGCAGTACTAGACCGACATTTTAATAGTTATAGCAATACTAGACAAACATTGCAATAGTTATGACAGTACTATACCAACATTTTAATACTTATGGCAGTACTAGACCCACATTTCAATAGTTATGGCAGTAATAGACCAAAATTTTAATAGCTAACACAAGCAGGAATCACCAATACAAGATTCATCAAAACAATATTCATCAAAGCTACAACACTCATCTCAGCTATGTACACCATAGATGCAACATTTACACAGACAGAGAGAGTCATTGTGGCTATAGGATTATCTAAAGATAGACAGTATCTGCAGCAATGACAAAACTTTCCTCTTACGGATCCATCAGTAGCAAAATCATGTTTACCCATTCTATAGAACCAAAACTACCCACATTCTACAGAACCACACCAATCCACATTCTAAAGAACCACAAAACCCCACATTCTACAGAACCACAACAACCCACATTCTAAAGAACCACAACAACCCACATTCTAAAGAACCACAACAACCCACATTCTATAGAACCACAAAACCCCACATTCTACAGAACCACAACAACCCACATTCTACAGAACCACAACAACCCACATTCTATTGAACCACATGACCCACATTCTATTGAACCACAACAACCCACATTCTATAGAACCACAACAACCCACATTCTATAGAACCACAACAACCCACATTCTATAGAACCACAACAACCCACATTCTATTGAACCACAACAACCCACATTCTATAGAACCACAACAACCCACATTCTATTGAACCACATGACCCACATTCTAGAGAACCACAACAACCCACATTCTATAGAACCACAACAACCCACATTCTATAGAACCACAACAACCCACATTCTATAGAACCACAACAACCCACATTCTATTGAACCACAACAACCCACATTCTATTGAACCACAACAACCCACATTCTATTGAACCACAACAACCCACATTCTATAGAACCACAACAACCCACATTCTATTGAACCACAACAACCCACATTCTATTGAACCACAACAACCCACATTCTATAGAACCACAACAACCCACATTCTATAGAACCACAACAACCCACATTCTATAGAACCACAACAACCCACATTCTATTGAACCACATGGCCCACATTCTATTGAACCACAACAACCCACATTCTATAGAACCACAACAACCCACATTATATAGAACCACAACAACCCACATTCTATAGAACCACAACAACCCACATTCTATTGAACCACATGACCCACATTCTATTGAACCACAACAACCCACATTCTATTGAACCACAACAACCCACATTCTATAGAACCACAACAACCCACATTCTATAGAACCACAACAACCCACATTCTATAGAACCACAACAACCCACATTCTATTGAACCACATGGCCCACATTCTAGAGAACCACAACAACCCACATTCTACAGAACCACAACAACCCACATTCTATTGAACCACAACAACCCACATTTTATTGAACCACAAAACCCCACATTCTACAGAACCACAACAACCCACATTCTATTGAACCACAACAACCCACATTCTATTGAACCACAAAACCTCACATTCTACAGAACCACAACAACCCACATTCTACAGAACCACAACAACCCACATTCTATTGAACCACAACAACCCACATTCTATTGAACCACATGACCCACATTCTATTGAACCACAATAACCCACATTTTCTCACAACCAACACAATGTATTGTTAAAAGTCATACACAATTTCCCCTGTTGATTAACTAATTGCTGATACTGACCTCTCTTGACATTTGTTGTGTCTGCTGCTTTTCGCCACATGAAAATAAAGGGGAAAAAATGATTAGATTGATAAAAAAATTATTTGAAATAATAATCACGGTAATTATTCTTCATGAACCTAATGACATATCGCCACAGTTACAATATTTTGTTTAAGTATATTTGGGCTACTAGTAGTAATAAGGCCATCTGCTTTATATGTATATTTTTGAATCTACACTCAATGACGGGTGGCTTTTGTTGGAAGTCGGTTCCAGGACGTGGGGTGGAAATGCATAATGTTGCTTTACTAAATTCTGTATGGTGGCAACTAACCTTTTTTTTTTTGGACTAAAATGATTTATTATTTTTTACATACTAAATTCAGGTTGTCAAAATTTTACTATCATTTTTTGACGAAGCATGAATTCTGAGGACAGCTAATGACATTACATGATTTTCTTTTCTTTTTAAAATGAATACTTTTTTCATTCTTTTTTTTTTTTTGATGTGAAGGGAAATAACTATTAGATACATTTTGTTCAATTAGTTATTTCCCTTAGATCCTTTCTCTTGATTAATTCGCGCGGAGAATTCCTTATGATATTCCCTGTCACTCCTAAGAATAAAAATAATAATATATTTCTTAAATTTTGTAATCTTCACTAGTAATATATCAGTTATGGTTAAACCTAATTTAGCAGTCGCCCACAAGGACAGTCTCCCCCCCCCCCGAGTTACACACTAGAACTGTTCCCAATAGGTACGATGCAATGAGGCCAAAAAGAAATAATAATAATAATAATAATTATAAACTTTATTTGAAAAAAACGCTTCAAACCCACAGGCTCGAAGCGCGGTACAAAGTCAACCATATTAATCTATAATTTACCACATTTAAAACAAACGTAACACTACAAAAACTAATTACAAGCAGACCAAGTCAAAGTTTTTCTACCCATTTTAACCATAAGCAACACAGCCAATATGCCTTAACTGGAAAATATGGTAGACATCATCATCCCAGAAGGTGTTTGCGAAATAGAAGTGCCTTTAAATCGGTTTTAAAGGACTCCAGTGTCAGAGGTGACAGATCCTTGTGACAATAGAGATTTTGCCCATTCCCTGCAACGACACTCTCAACCACAGTCCCTAGAAATCCTACATATATCTAATATTTGCTCACATGCCCTGTTTCCCCATCCCCATAATAAAATCATAATAGTCATATTTCCATGCCCCATAATAAAATCATAATAGTCATATTTCCATGCCCCATAATAAAATCATAATAGTCATATTTCCATGCCCCATAATAAAATCATAATAGTCATATTTCCATCCTCCATACTAAAATCATAATAGTCATATTTCCATGCCCCATAATAAAATCATAATAGTCATATTTCCATGCCCCATACTAAAATCATAATAGTCATATTTCCATGCCCCATACTAAAATCATAATAGTCATATTTCCATGCCCCATACTAAAATCATAATAGTCATATTTCCATCCTCCATAATAAAACCACATTGAGTCATATCGCCACCCCCTATGGACAATCAGTTATATAGCAGTTCTATGGAGAGCTGAGTTACTCACCTACAAGGACCGTGACCTTGAGGCTGCCAATCTCTCGGTCTGAGCTACGACAGATGTAAGTGCCACTATCGTCCGTGTCAGTGTGCTCAATGAACAGTTCACTGATCAACGCTTGGTCCTGCGGCAGGTATAAAAAAACACTTCATTAGAAAACACTTCATTAGAAAACATTTCATTAGAAAAAAAAGACACATTTCCTTAGCTCTCAAATATTTAGTCTATGTCGTCGACGCACTCATCAACGGAGAGAGAAACTTCTTTCTAAAAAAAACCAAACACCGCCATGAAGACGCCATAAAAAACAACAACTCATATGTCAAAACGTAAGTACACGACTCTAATCCACAACTGAAACATTTACATTACCCATGGACCGGACATGGAAGTTATGGTTTCGAACTCACTGACACGCGTAAATGGTATTCTTTAAGAAAAACACAACAACCACCAAAGTAATAATAGTGAGAAAAGCATTTTGACTATGTAGGATGCAATGACCGTAGTCTGTGGTAGCCGTTGCCTTTTATAACTGGCCGATACACTATCATGGTCTTTGACCACTGGCTAAACAGCTATACTATCATGGTCTTTGACCACTGGCTAAACTAGCCGCTACACTATCATGGGCTATAACCACATGCTAAACCGCCTACTACACTATCAGGATCTTTGACCACTGGCTAAACAGCTATACTATCATGGTCTTTGACCACTGGCTAAACAGCTACACTATGATGGTCTTTGACCACTGGCTAAACTAGCCGCTACACTATCATGGGCTATAACCATAGGCTAAACCGGCTACTACACTCTCATGGCCCGTGAACGCTAGTTAAACTGGCCGTTACACTATCGTGGTCTATAACCACTGGCTAAAATGACCATTTACAACAATAGGCTAACTTTTGCCATCAAATCGCCATTGACCTTGGGGTATAACTTTACAATCATCGTCACCAATACCTTAGGTCTAAGCACTCAGTACCAGGGTTATTGCTCAGTACCATGGTTACTACTCAGTACCAGGGTTACTACTCAGCATGCGCGTCACGTAACACTTACTTCTAGAGTAGGGTGACTAAACGTCCCGTAAACACGGGATTGTCCCGTTTTTTCACGATCGTACCCGTTGTCCCGAAAAAGTCTCTCGGGACGACTAAATATTTCATTTTTTAAACCAAACACATTTTCAAATCACTAAAACTTCCTAATTTATAATATAACTTCAAGTAATATTTTGGCTAGCTGTGTAGCCAGTGCCAAGTGCCAGTAGTGATGTGGTCTCGCGTGATGGCTGCACTGTTCCCCCGTCCACCACATTGTCCCTGCCATAGATCTTATATGTAAATATATAGCGAAAGACTCGAGACTTGAACACTTACTTCTAGAGACATGAATTTGGTCAGCACTATGTTAGGGTCACGTGAGCCTCTCGTGTCCAGCTTAGTGCCATCCTTGAACCAGTCGATGTCCTCAGGTATCTTTGGCCCACCCGTGGCATTACACTTGAGCCTGATGGGTTCGTTCCGGTCCACAAACTCCTTGCCAGTTAGGACCACAGCTGTATAAATGGAGACGATTAAGTGGCAGTACTTTGAGTGTTTATCTGGCACATGACAGCAAGACTTAGGCGTGATACTTTATTGGTGCTACAGGATGTCTGGCTATCAACATACTCTATGGCAATTTAATAACACGCAGCAGTATAACTGTATCAATCAGAGGCGTAGCGAGTGGGGCGGGGGGGACAGATGTCCCCGGGGGCCAGCTAGTTAGGGGCGCCAAAATGTGCTTTGATTTTATTTTATTGATGAAAATAATGGGTTTGAGAGTTGAAAAAAAAGAAAAAGGAGCGCTTTAAGACACCCTCGGTACGCCTCTGGTTTCAATTATAAACATGCTACAGTGGGTCACACAAAAAAAAATTCAAAAAGAAAATCACACAACTAAATACAATACAAACTGAGCTACATGAAAAAGCAACACAGGAAAAAAACCCCCCACAAGAATAACGATAACAAATCCTAAAAAAAATAACTTTTATTTAATTTTAAAAATGTTATAAAATGGTCTTAGTTAAAATGATTTGAAATTTCGGAGAGTTTGTTCCTGGCTAAATGAACAACCATTGCAGTAGATATAAGGAGATCCAACCATTGCAGTAGATATAAGGAGATCCAACCATTGCAGTAGATGTAAGGAGATCCAACCATCGCAGTAGATGTAAGGAGATCCAACCATCGCAGTAGATGTAAGGAGATCCAACCATTGCAGTAGATATAAGGAGATCCAACCATCGTAGTAAATGTAAGGAGATCCAACATCGCAGTAGATATAAGGAGATCCAACCATTGCCGTAGATATAAGGAGATCCAACCATCGTAGTAGATGTAAGGAGATCCAACCATTGCAGTAGATATAAGGAGATCCAACATCGCAGTAGATATAAGGAGATCCAACCATTGCAGTAGATATAAGGAGATCCAACCATTGCAGTAGATATAAGGAGATCCAACATCGCAGTAGATATAAGGAGATCCAACCATTGCAGTAGATATAAAGAGATCCAACCATCGTAGTAGATGTAAGGAGATCCAACCATTGCAGTAGATATAAGGAGATCCAACCATTGCAGTAGATATAAGGAGATCCAACCGTTGCAGTAGATATATAAGGAAATCCAACCATTGCAGTAGATATAAGGAGATCCAACAATTACATAATGTATAACGATCGCTTGTTAAAATATCAATGCTGGCAGTGTTGATAAAGTTATAGCAGTTACTATTATCAATAATGACGGTATTTATAAAGTTATAGCCGTTACTGTGAGTCATTTTAACAGTACACATGTTTCTATTGGATACTAAAGCAACAACAACCAAATATTTTACAAATGAGTTTTATGCCCAGTTCACGCGATCAAATGTTCGTCAGAATACTTTTATGAACGCACTATTTGTGTTTCGAAATTTGACGAACATTTTATCGTCGGGACTGAGCATAAGCGCTAAATCCTACCCACTGAAAGCAGATACCGACTCCGAGTTTTACACACGACTTATAAGCGTTACAAGGCACGTACTTGGCTTACCTGGTTTGTTCACTGGGCGAGCTGGAAGGGAGGGGAAAACATGAGTCAATAGCAATTGAAAGTCAGTGCAGTGGCAGGCAAAATAACATAGCAAGGAAACAGTGGGGATTAATGCCTTCAGCTTATCCATTCACATCTTGTCATGTCTTAAAATAAAGCCTCAAAATAGAGCCATAAAGGATACAAAGTACATTTTCACGTCAAAGTCCAAGCTTACATTTATATATGATTAGAAATTAATAAAAACATTCACTTCTTTGTTATCTGCTCTAGGGGCCGTCCATAAAGTACGTCACGCTCCAGTTTTTTTTTTTTTGGGGGGGGGGGGGGTGTAAAAGAAGCGGGATGATTTT